AAGGGTATCCCTTGAAGCTAAAGTCAAAGCTATGATGTGGTCTATCTGTGAGCATAAGCATGATGCCTGAAACCTCCTCATTTCCTATTAAATGTCTTTCACAGTTCTTATGGATTTACTTAAAGGGTTTGTATTGCACTTGATCCATTTACCTCAATCATCGTGCTCTCTAACAAAATGTCTGATTGTGGCCCAGAAGGACATAAAAGACATGTATTCAACCATCCCGTCAGTGGAAATCAGTGCTGGTTTCTTTTACCAAGCTTTCCAGACTGCATGGCACTTACTTTTCCGCCTATGGTTTTCCATTTCAAAGCCCTGTGCCTCCATGTAAATACCAAAACACAGTAATCCAATCTGACCCCATTGCAAATTTTCCAGAAACTATTGGGGGGTACTGGGGTTGACATGAGCCACACACTTATCCCACTTAACCTCCAGAGAGAAGCCACCCTAACCCCTTTATTCCACGATTCCCCCACTGGAGGAATGCACCGTGTTGTGCCGTTCTCCTCTTAAAAGCAGTGTGCCTTGAGGTTGGACTCTATGACAAAACTTAATTACTTTGTGTGTTTGTAAAGTCAAAGCAACACAAAGTTGATGCCAATGATGAGGAAGCTATTTGAGCAGCAGAAACCCACATCAGGGCATCTCTCTGCCCACCATATTGTGCAAACCCAAATACTTTTTGATTCAAACCCTAAATAGTCCCTAACTGATGTCTTTCGTGAATGTTGCAGCAGCATATTTATCCTGTGCTAACTTGATGACAAATATCCCGAGGATTCCTCTGTTTCCCATTTGCTATTGTTTGCTTTTTTAGCATGCAAAACTAGTTCCAGTCTGACTCTCAGTTCTCAGTACACCGGGGCATAGATGCTTATCTCCCATGTTGGAGAGTGGCGGCACGTAAGGCACACTAAGGGTTTCTGACACATGGTCTACATCTGAGGCTTTTTCCACAAGTGTCTTGATCGCACAGCTAATAGCTACAGAGAAAGCTTGGGGTTGAGCAGACAAATCCCCCACTTCATCCTCTACAGGTGATACATCCCTCTGGACTGGTTAGCTGTAATATCGCTGAGTACAATGCGCTCTCATTGCCAGGACTTTATTCCAAAGAAGTGATAACTAGCAGAGCCTCTTTCATTGTGAATGATCAAGCTTTTAGCCAGTTTCTAGATAGACAAAGCGTTGCGAACATAGTTGAACAAACAAACTATCATGACTAATGACCAACTATTATTCTGTGAAACAACTAAGTGTGTGGTTAATTTGGATATTCGATACAGCCGAGTTGTTTTGAATCAGTACTGTCTTATAGGAAAAGGATCAAAAGCTCCACATGCAAGCTCCATCCTCCTCAACCCCCTCTTCTTAACAACATGGTAATAATTTCAAAGATATGAGCTTCCTTCACAGTTGATGAACGGCAGCAGCCAGAGACGGAAACATCTCACAGGCACTCTACCGTTTTCCTTGTCAATTTTTAGTTAATGCTCTCCTGTCAATAGGCACATCCCCTAATTAACTAAAATAGTATTTCATCAATAGCCATAACTGGCCGGTGCAGGAATTGACGGGAGCAAGGGTTGAATTGACTAAAAATGCCTGACAGGGAGATTTCATAGACAGGTAAAGAGTTTATCATTCTCTGAAGCAATTGACTAAAACATGTGTGTGATTCTGCAAAGTGCAGTTTACAGTCTGCGCTCTTTTTGGGGGCAATATAGCATCACTGGATCAATTTCAGCCCCACCTACATCTTTGAGGTAAATGGTTTGCATTTAGAAAGTCATTACGCTGTCAATTGAACATCTCCCCCTCCACTTTGCGTCGGGATGTGCATAATGAAGTTTGGAGTCATTACAGTCTTGGAATATACTAATCTGGTGATGTTTCCTTTCCCTATCATGTCGTGTTAGGGCTGATGACTCTCACCAGACAATCTCCTCTATTCAGGAGCGGTGCCACCAAGTCTGTCCTTGCTTATCATTAACAATCTGCAAATAAACAGGACAGCATACATTACATCACTTGCAGCTCCATGATCAATTCCAGGAATGTCTTTGAAGCTTCGCTTAATGAAACTACACACTGTAGCTGTTGTGTGAAGTCGGGGCTTGAAAGACTCATAACTAAAGATCTTTATGGAGTTTCTTTTCAATTGTAATATTGTAAGGTTATTAAAAACAGGTTGATATCATCCACAAGACAATTCCTGAAAATGTGCAGACCAGTCCACTCATAAATGTTACACTTAAAGCAAAGCAGCCACCATTCCGTACAGACAGAAATGACCCACACATGCGAAGTGAAAGATTTTAGAGGCTGCCCAGTCAAATATAGTCGCCCTTCTGATTTTGATGTGCATGATGTGAGGAGATGTATAAAAGGGAAGCGCTGACAAAGTTTGCTTCATCAATCAGTAGTGTCAGTTCAGACCTTTTTATAGCCTCTCCAAGTCCCTGGGAGCCCTAACCCTGTAAAAGTTTATATAGTGTATTGACCATTCTCTACTTGGTTAGCTAATGAAGCCACCTTGGCCAAAGAGCCTGAGAGCCAGCCACAGTGTCAACACTGCTTCCTATTTGATGACACCTTCCACTAAATTGAAATGTGCTGCTAATGGGGCTGAGTGTTTAAAGAAGAATAAGCCCCAGTAATTGACACAGACCTGACCTTACTCGCACAAAGACACGACTAAGGTCCCTGGTAGGCTGGCAACAAAAAAAAAGCTGCACCTAATGCCGGGGCTGGTATCATGTGAAGGCTTACTGGCTTTAGCTGTTGGAGCTCTGCGAGATTTTTCATTCGGTCTGATGTTGCTGCAGCTTATCAACAGAGTTGCATTTGTTTTCTGTATAATCAATAATACACAGCACATGCCACACTCCCTTGTCCCCCCCCCACCCCACCCCTTCCCTGCCTGAGGCGATGTGCTGTATGTGCAACCACAGGACTCCACCTCGCTCACATGCACACACATACACTTTCAAGAGAGGCAGCTTTTTTTATCATAACATCCGTCCATACTAATGGTAAAGAGGGCGCAGTGATATTTTACTTAAGTATTGACAACGACTGATTTTAAATGAACAAATCCTGTCTGGCACATCTGTTCTGCACTCCAACCAACTCTTGGAAGAATAAACAGTGCTGAATTTATTAGTCGTTTTTGTTTTCAGTGGTGCCCAGCATGAGCCTTGAAGCTTTACCTGACATGTTCCAATCTTTAACTACAAAAACATGAAAAGGCTTTGTGGCAAATCTCATGTGCAACAAGTTCATCACACACCTTCACAGTGTCAACAGAGGACTGGTCCCATTGCAGAATAAATCCAACTAAAGTGTGATAACAGTTAGCCAGCCCTCTTGATTGAATATACCTTCTACATCTACATCTTTTGTAAGAATGTGCACGGTATCCCTCTAAGAACCTCCACATCCAGGCTTGGTTTCCTGCCTGGACCCATGGAGACACACAACAGACAATTGATGGGCACTGTTTATGGTGGCTGACAGGCCGGGACACTTTAGTTTACTTGTGAATTTGTGGTCGAATTGCATTTTAGAGAGCACTTGCGTGACTTTGGCTGACGTGCGCACAGAGGCTTTGCAGTAAAGCACGTAGAATAATGAGCCACGTTCTTCTCAGAATGACGAGATCTGCTTTAGGCACGGCTTAAATGTTATAGTAATACGACTGTAGACCCACACGGGACTGAATATTATGGTAGATAAGAAAAATATAAACATATAAAGAAATGGATCACACAACTACTGATGTAGTGATACAGAGAATCTAAATGATATTGCCAGCAACACCTCTTCAAGGTAGTCGGTGCGAGTAGGACTGCAACTGTCTCCCACAGATAGTTTTGCTGGGAAAGCTCTCCACATGCACTAAACGATTCACTGACTGGTATGATTTAAAACAGGACACTTTTTATTTTTATCCAAAAGCACAGCAATCTTCCCTGATATCTGTTTTCATATTATTATTATTATTCTGGCTCTCTAACTTTTATCGTCTTTATAGGTATTCTCAAACCGTAAAAAAAACTTCTACAAATTCTGTTTTTAACACATTGCAAGCAATGTAAAAAACAGTTTGACGAGTTAAAACCCTTCCAAATATTCCCTGGTAGAATAAAATCTTACATATACAAAAACCTCTTTACAACAGACTCGTAGACTCGAAATTAATTTCAGGGATTTGTGCAGTGGAGAAAAAAAAACGGCAAATAAGAATTATCACTCAATATTCCAGATGCCAGTATTAAGATGAGGCTATTAAACACGCTTCGCGGATCTTAAAAGGGGAAAAATAACTAAACAAATCCGTTGCGCTCTAATAACCTTTTAAACGGTTAATGAGTGTCCAGCGATCAGTCGCTTATATGTGTCTGCGCTTTGATTTCCAGAGGAGGACGATGCAGGAAGCGTCTGCTCCCCCCTGACAGCGCGGACTAAACCACGGAGGCAAGTGGACACGGTGTGAAACGAACACTGTTATTTCAGAAAATAAATACAAGCGTGAATGAGCAAAACTGTGTTCCTGGTGCTTGGATCACAGGAATACGGCTGCGACTGGGACGCTGAGAGGAAAGTCGATGGCGCGCCAGATCGCATCGCCTCTCCGCCAAAGCCAGCCGCTCTCCCGGCTCGGCATGGCTCGGCTCGGCTTGGCTCGGCTTAACTGCTCTTCGCACGGGTCTGACAGACCGGCCGACGGCGCAACTTCTGCGAGGATGTTGACATATTCGCGCAACGCCGGCCGGGGCTGGGCGGCGTTACGCGGCGGAGCGCTTTAGAGTTTCCAAACACCTTTTTATAAGTCTGAAGTCTGTCCCCTCCACCCGACCTGTCAAAACCACGCCCACGCCGCCACACAATTGGTCCGAAAGCGTGAAAGAGCCAATCAAACGGAGCGCTGCTACTCGTAACATGCAACACATCCATACAGTATGAAGCCCTATGGGCCACAGAGGCGCTAGGAAAATCACGGAGCTGGGACCTTACCACCCCTCTCTCCTCTCTCTCTCTCCCTCTCTCTCTCTCTGCCGTCAGCGGACTCCTTTCTCTGCACACGTCTTTCTCTGAAATGTGTGTGTGCGCGAAGGGCAGAGAAGGAATAAACTGTGTGTGTGCGTGTGAGGGTGCATGTCCGGAGCAAGTAAAGGCAGGGGGATTATTCGGCGCTATCGAAATATTTCAACACGTCGCCCTCGCTGCAGGACTCAAGCCAATAAGAAGGAACCCATTTTAACAGGAATGCCGATATTGTAAACAGCAGCAGAAGAGAAAGAATGCGCCGCAGTCAATTAAGTGACTCACCCCAGTTGGTTTAATTCGACTTGTGTCCGAAAGCCAGCGAGAAAACCGAAAGGTGTCCGATGCGCGTCCGTCTCCGGAGAAAACCCGCGTCGCAGCACTTTTGAAGATTAATGGAGCTCATTTGTGCTTTTTACTTTCCAGACTTTTGACCCAAACTCGGCAAAAAGGGACAGCAGAAATTTCAACCTCAACTTGTGAAAAAGAAAAGCAGCGGATGCTTGTTCCTGCCGCGTTGAAGGAGGAGTTCACATTGATTTCTTCCCTTTTTTTATTTTGAACAGACTCTGTGCTCTCGGACTCGGGCTCCGCTGTTGCAACACACACACTTGTGCTCCATTCAACCAGTTGTCATTTGTTGCCCCGCTCTTGGATGAACTTCCTGATGAGAGATCCAGTCATACAAGGATCAAGTATGGCATATCATCCGTTTATACCTCACCGGGGTCCGGAATTTGCCATGAGTGCAATGCTGGGGCACCAGCCTCCCTTCTTCCCGGCCCTCGCGCTGCCTCCCAGCGGCTCCCTGTCTCTGCCCGGCGCGCTGGGGAAGCCGATCATGGACCAGCTGATGGGGGCCGCGGAGACCGGCCTCCACTTCTCCTCGCTGGGGCACCAGGCTGCGGCCGCCCACCTGAGGCCTCTGAAAACGCTGGAGCCTGAGGAGGAGGTGGAGGACGACCCCAAAGTCCACTTGGAAGCCAAAGAGCTTTGGGAACTCTTCCACAAGAGGGGCACCGAGATGGTGATCACAAAGTCCGGAAGGTGAAAACATATTTTACATTTTTCTAGGAGTCCCAAAATTTTGTTTTTTTTTTAGAAGCCTGTTGTGAAGGCGGGTATCTGTTAACAGATACTTTTGTTTGACCCAACATAGTCACTGCTTCCTTTATACGCTTATAAACAGCTATTTTACGCACGGTTCCACTTCGTCCTAATTTTTTTTAAATCAATGTAGCCTATAACTTTTTAACTCGCATTATCGGTCCACAAACGGTATGCAAATATGTCCTCTAGCAAGATGTGTTTTTAATGCATAATAAACGGATGGTCCAAGACCATCGAGGTATCTAAAAATAGACTACAAATTGGGAGTCTTGATTTTAGGAATTTAAAGTATCACGTAGTTCTCCAACAGCTTTTTGAGTCACTGGTCACACTGGACATTTTACGAACATTTCATAAATAATAAAAAGTATTCTCAAATGAGAAATTGTACATGCAGCTTCTGTGTTTTTTTATTTGAAACATTCCTACATTTTCGAGGCCACCTTTATTTATTTGGTCTTTTTTCCTAAAACTTACTCGGGTAAAATGTCAAACTATTTTAGGCTTCATGCTGTAAAGGTGGAACATGTGTTTTTTTAAGGAATTAAAAACCTTTTTTTTTCAATCACTCCATACAAGATTCCTTTTGTACCTAATTTTGCGTAATCCTTTTGTAATACTGTGACAAAATACACCGATTTGGGGTTAAGCTACACAAAGGCACACTTTTCTAGCAGAAACCATAATCAGGTAAATTAAGACCTAGCTACTTAACATAACTCGTTAAACCGACTGTCATTAACAGGCTTACTAAAAGTAGAAAAACGGTCAGTTTTTATTTTGGAAGAATTTTTTTCTTTTTATAGAACCATTCAGTTATTGAAATTATTTTTATCCAATCTATTGCTTCCGCACTAGTGCTTATGTTTTTTTTCTTTCTTTCCTTTTTTTTTTTTAACAGGCGGATGTTTCCTCCCTTCAAAGTGAGGTGCACTGGTCTGGACAAGAAGGCCAAGTATATACTCTTGATGGATATAGTTGCAGCCGACGACTGCAGGTACAAATTTCACAATTCCCGCTGGATGGTGGCAGGAAAGGCCGACCCCGAAATGCCAAAGAGGATGTACATTCACCCAGACAGTCCGGCTACTGGCGAACAGTGGATGTCAAAAGTGGTCAATTTTCACAAACTCAAGCTGACAAATAACATCTCCGACAAGCATGGATTTGTAAGTTCAACTAATGTATGTCAATTTTCCTATTTATCAACTTACATTTTTAGTAAATATTGTCTTGATACGTGTTTTTATTGGGTTATGCATTTCAAATGGTACCATTTTAAAAATCCACATGAACGACCTATAATTAGGCTGTAATCATCCTGTGGTATTCCCATGTGCATGTATTATTTAATTGGTAAACGTTGTCTACAGACAACAATGATTCTGTCCACTTTTTTGCTAAACCACAATTTTTTGGGTGTTTTGGGTTGTTTTAGGATTCTGTACTGCAGGATTGATCCTGGAAATCTGTGATTTTTACGTTCAACTCCTGTTTCTAATTTCCCAACTTTTGTGATTGTGTGTGTTGCAGACCATTCTTAATTCGATGCACAAATATCAGCCACGATTTCACATCGTACGGGCCAATGACATTCTAAAACTGCCGTACAGCACCTTCAGGACTTACGTTTTTCCCGAAACCGATTTCATTGCCGTGACTGCTTATCAAAACGACAAGGTAAGCACACAGAAGCAGAGGCTGAGCCCTGCCGTCCACACGCTCACCACTGTGGCGTGTGCGTCCCTCATCCTGTCAAACGCGCTCTCAAACCCGTCTCCATTTTGTTGTCATAAAATATGAAAGACATCATATTCGGTGGAGACTGTGAGTGGGAGCTGGCGGTGGGGGTTGATGTTGAGAGTAAGTGCCACATTCACCAGCCTGTGGTAGGAAAGCAATAATTCCGAGGAATGTTATACAGGTTATCTTCCATTTATTTAATCACGTGGAAAGGATTTGGCACAGGCCCAGGGTGTTTCTCGCTCTCAGCGTGTGCGTGGGTCTCTGAGTGTAGGCGTGTGTGTATTCGTGTGTGTGTGTGTTCAACTGAAAAGGTTTGGGGGCTGAGGGAAAAAAACGCTGAAAAAGAAGATGGGGAACGTTAAAGGGGAAAGAAATTGGGGGATGTGTTGTGCATGATTGCGCTGCGATGATTGGTAGAATTCTGTTCTGAAAAATAATCAGGATAGTAAAAAATTATTGTCAGCACATCTTTGGCAGCGTGTCTATCAGCACAGGAAGTGGTGTGGTGTGGAAGTCGAGTTTTTAGAGAAAGGAACAGAGCAGCAGATTTCGCTCTCGTTGAAAATCGTGCCAACAGGAGGCTTCGGTCTTTGCGGGCTTGTGTGTTTTGTTTAATGTGTGTTTTGCCTCCATGTTTACTGTGCAGTTTAGCTTGTGTGACAATGATTACCGGGTGTGTGAAACGGGAAAATAAGACAAACCTAAAGTTTAGCTCTTGATGTGATGTCAGATGAGAATATATCTGGGAGGTTTCATATGATTTGCTATAAATAGACATGATTTTCTTTTTTCTTTTCCACCCCAGATAACCCAGCTGAAAATTGACCACAACCCTTTTGCCAAAGGATTCCGTGATACCGGTAATGGGAGACGGGAAAAGAGGTGAGAAAGACCGAAAACGTGCTCAGTAGAAATAAGTAAAACTTTGCGTGAACTAGCTGTTTTGGATCTTTCTGAATTAAATCTGCGTATAAGATTCCAAACTTAAACCCCAGGAAACTTGCTCTTTCTACGTAGAGAAAACCATAAGACACAAGTTTGCCAATACTTAGAAAAAAAAATCTAAATATGTACACACACATATATTTTTCTATAAGTTTTCTGCATCATTTATCGTTCTGTTGACATTCATTTCTGACCTGAAAACTGGGACTGCCACCGAAAATAACTTGGGCACTTGTTCTTAGGAAACAGCTGGCCTTACAGTCCATGCGTTCGTACGAGGAGCAGCAGAAAAAAGAAAACGGCGCATCAGACGACTCCTCTGGTGAGCAGGCGTCCTTCAAGTGCTTCGGCCAGGCCTCGTCCCCTGCCGTGTCTACAGTGGGGCCCCCACACCTGAAAGGTTGGCCGAGACCACACAGTTTTTTTTCTCACAAGTCATAAAAGTTACATTATGGGATGATTTTTACAGCCCCATAGGAATGAGCGTCCTGAGTGACCGTCAATGAATAGCTGGTCATTTATGTCCAGCCCATCCACGCATGGGGAATTGATAGATGTCCTCTGTGCTGACTGTCTAATTGAAATGAACTATAAACACTTCGGGGGAGAAAAAAAAAGAGGATTCTTCCATTAATTGGTGGCAGATGTTTAGAAACAGCATAGCATTGCGTTTAAGTGGTTTTCAGTAGTTTCCGTTTAAAAGGCTATTTGGTGAGGAAATTAACGCAGTCGCTGCTATAACTGTGTAACTGACTATGGGCCAGCAGGGTTTAAAAAATAACTTCCCTGCACGTCGTTTTCCTGTCTCACCTCTGAAAGCCACCTGCAGAGAGGGCAAACAAAGATGCACCACACATTGAAAGGCAACTGATGTTCTGCTCCCTTCTTCGTGCGCAGATTTCTGTGACAGCGACGAGGACAGCGAGGACGAGAGCAAGGATGGACACCACAAGGACGGCCCGGACTCCAGCAAGATCTCCACCACCACGGAGGACGGCAAGGACCACGAAGCCACCCCGGCCAAGGGGAACGCCTTCAGCAACGGGGACTCCGCTGGCCGGGCCCAGAGCGGGCCCCGGACTGAGAAAAGCCAGGCGGACTCGCGGCAGAGCCCCATCACGCTCATCTCCAGCACCACGCGCTCGGGAGAAGACCGCAAGAGCCCCAGTCTGGACCAGTCCAAAACGGACGAATGTAGGTCAATCAGCAAGGACAGCTTCATGCCGCTGACCGTTCAGACTGACAGCGCGCACCTGGGCCACGGCCACTTGCATAACTTCGGATTTCCGACAGGCCTAACGGGACAGCAGTTTTTCAACCACTTAGGCAGCGCGCATCCGTTCCTCTTGCACCCCAGCCAGTTCAGCATGGGGGGCGCGTTCTCAAACATGGCCGCGGGCATGGGACCACTACTGGCGGCGGTGTCCTCGGGAGGGGTGAGCACCATGGACACGACCAGCATGGCATCCCCCCCGCAGAGCCTGGCGGGGACGCCCGGCCTGCCTTTTCATCTGCAGCAACATGTCTTGGCATCGCAGGTAAAACCTGTTTTCTTTGGCTCAGGCCGCCCTTTTTTCTCCTAACGCGCACGCTCTGCTGCACCCGCGCAGAGCGCGTTGGTTTAACGTGACAGGTACAGGGATACATTTGAAGTCCATCTGTTAACATTGTATGCGCGTCCTCTGCGCGCATGCGCTTGTTTAAAAGTCCAATTTACAAAGTTTGGATTGAAAATTTCTGTTCGCGATAGGGTTATGTTGGAAGCAAAAAAAATAAAATAAAATTTCCATGTCAGAGATAGAAACAAACTTGGAACAGCTCGAGGTGTTGGGCAATCATATAATATGAGCTCATTAAGTCTGAGTTTTAGAGCCACAGTGGGGTGCATTAAAATGCCTCATTGGCTCAGAGAGGGAAACAACTTTACGTTTTAATGGACGATAAATGTGTCATTTTTCCCCATTCACTTTGAAAACAAATGGCTGCAACGTCTCCGTTTGAGGGCAGCAACAGGTATCTTTATTTGCATTTCAAATTCTTGAGCAGGCAGCGAAATGACTGTCTCGGTAGGTGGTAAAGCTTTGCTGGAGGATATGTTAGTTCGGAACAGATTTACGTAAACCATGTGCAGAAAGCCAGGCCAACTACAACTACAACCTTTAGGGGAGATCTCCATTTTTTTTTAAAAACAGTATAGACTACACGTCCAAAAGCGATCCATGTTGAACAACTGCTTCAAACGTGCTGTAGTCGCCTTGTGGCTGACGTTGGGTTTCTTCCTGTGTGCGCAGGGCCTCGCCATGTCTCCGTTCGGCAGTCTGTTCCCGTACCCCTACACTTACATGGCGGCAGCTGCGGCTGCCTCCTCCTCCGCCTCCTCCTCGGTGCACCGGCACCCCTTCCTGAACGCAGTGCGCCCCCGACTCAGGTACAGCCCCTACTCCCTCCCCATGACGGTACCGGACAGCACGCTGCTCACCACCGCCATGCCCTCTATGTCCAGCACCGGAAGCGAGCTGAAGGCGGACGGCATCGTGCCGGCCAGCCCCGCGTCCGCCGTCACGCTGGACTCCACGTCGGAGGTGACCAGCCACTCGTCCACAATATCCTCCGGGTCCGTGTCCATGTCCCCGAAAACTTGCACGGACAAGGACGCGGCCAACGAGCTCCAGAGCATCCAGCGCCTGGTCAGTGGACTGGACTCAAGTCAGGACAGGCCACGGAGCGGATCCCCTTAGGAGCCCCCCCCCATCCCCACCCCCACACCTTTTTTTTTTATTTTTGTCCCGTCGTCGTCAGGAAAAGTAAAACGCGTGGACGGCTATGAGAACAATGATAAGAAAACACCCTTGCATTATTCAAGCAGGTTTTAAAAAGAAAAGAAAACGTGAACTTTTGGACGTTTTTGGTTTCTGAAATGCACTTTGTTAATTACACATCTCATATGTATATTTCCATCCTTCTTTCTTTGTCTTTTTTGTTAAATTAAACTCCACTTTGTTTCCCTGTCTTTGGAATACCGTACAAGTATTGAAACTGAAACGCTGGCATGGGTGTGACTTAAGAAATTGGAATAAGTTGCTGCTGTGTCCTGTCTCCTGTAACTTTCTCGTACACAAGGAGCGATGTTTTTTTTGGAATATGCACTCTGAATTAATTTGACTTATTTGAGTTCACTACCGTTGGACCTACCTTTTAAAGACTGCTGTATTGTGTTGTACGCTTTGAATTGATCGATTGAACAATTGTTGCATGCCCTCCGAAAGCAAATCAAACCTTACTTCAAAAATCTAAAAAGCGAAAGGTGTGGAAATTGTTCAGCTTTGAGTGACATGAAAACATTTCCTTACATAGTATTTTTCTCATTTGGTTATCAATTTTAAAATGGGGCTTTTCGTCTTGCCCTTTGGAAATAAAGGGCCTACTGGATGACTGGTGCCATGGGACAAACCCTAAACGCCCCAGCATGCTCAAATTAGCCCAAATCGTCAAAGGGAAGCAGGAATTCAAAGTAAATATTAAAAAGACGAAAGGTAGTATTACTCATTGGTGTAAATAGGGATATATAAAATATTTATGTAATTATTTCATATTGTTATTGCGTGTAAATAAGACGGAGTAGTTTGTTTCTAGGGATCTGCTCTTAATTTATTGTCGATATACCTGTGTATAGTTTGTGGACTATTATCCTTTTCGTTGTCATCTGCATTTATGCCCCCTTTAAAATACGACTTTGCCCCTTTTCCCACAAAGCTAGTTACTCACACTCATGTGCCATTGTATTTTCACTTGCTGTCCCTGTGTGTGAAGTGCTACTGTTTAAAACAAATGAAAAAGCGACAACACACTGCACCCAGGGCTTGAAAAAAAATCCCCCCCCCCTTCACCTTTTTTTCAGAACTGTCGTTGAGGTGTGACAAAAGTGGATTTTTTCCTGTTTTTCAAACATTTTGCGAACCTGATCGTAAAAGTGCCGCATAATCGAAAATATGAAGGTTTTTTTTGTTTGTGTGTGTGGGTGTGTGTGTTTCTTAAGTTGTCAGTGGGTTATGTTGTATTGGAGTTATGTCTAGTTTACAACATCAACATCGTGTTCTTGAAAGTTTCAATAAAATATTGAAATGCCATGGGTGTGTTTGCATGATTGCCTTTCCCAGTTTGAAGATATGACGGGGAAGAGTCCACGTGATAACCTCAAACTTCAGAAAAATCCTTTAAGAAATGCTGCTGCCACGTTTGTCCTGGCTCAGGGAGGCCTGGAAAAAAAAGGTCACACAGATGGAAAGACCTCCTGGTAAACAAACTACAGGGCAGGACACGATTTCTCAATTTAGACGTTTTGTTTGTTAGTTTTTTTATTTCAATGCTCCTGTTAATTTAAAGGCCGATGCACTGTTCAGGTGTAACCTGTACAGCTTTTTTAGTGGCGGGACAGACGAGTTTGCACATGCAAAATAATATATGTACAAGTTATATAAATGAGGGTGGGGGGTGAAACAAGATCTGTACGTACACGAGGACGTTTGAATAATATTTTTACTTGAATTACATTTTTAAAATGCATTTTACTTCCAGAATTTTCGCTCCTTGACTGAAATGTACCTTTACTTAAAAAGGGGGACCATTTAGACTCACAGGAATGGGACATAAGAGACGGGGCATCACCCATATGTCGAGGAAGTGTTACTGTCAAGGTGCAATCGACAGGCTAATCAGAGAAAGTCTATCTGGCGTGAAAAAGACTATCCCTGATAACCTCCTGTATTGCACCTCGAGTCATGAGTTTATCAACATCATATCTTCATTTGTATATCGTCTGGTTAATGTGTAGCAGGCCTGGCGCTGCGGAATAGGTGTAAACATGATACAAACTGTCTCAATTGGTCCGTCTTATTGCTCACCTGGCGCCTTCCAAAGGCATATCTTCCATTTTATTGCACGGAAGGCGACAACGCGTCTGTAATCTGACCATGACGCAACGCCCCCAAGCGGCCGCAGCAGCCCCGGGTCATTAACGCGCAGCACAGCAGACCAAAGGACAGATCCTGAGTGAGAGCTCACCAAAAAGGGGCCAGCGGGACGGTGATAAGGGCAGTTTGACTTCGTCACACGGGCTACTGTCAGCTCTGCGTTGGCGGACGCTCAATAGCGCGTTAAGACGCGCCGCGTGGATTTGTTCCACGCAACAAAAAAGTGGCCTGCAAAACCTGTTCACGTTAAAATAAGTGTCTGTTTCAGCCCACGTGCATTCAACCGCCTAATTTCACATTGTAGCTTCACATATATATATATATATATATCTGCAGACAATCACAACACAAACCCTATAATTCCCATCTGAGAGACAACTCCTACAGTAATCAAAAGTAAAATGAGACTATGTCCACGTTTGTTTGTTTTGTTGTTGTTTTTTCCATTATTTGCATCCACTGATATTACAACACACATTTGAACCCTTTCACTCTTGAGAGATAAAGTATGTCAAAGCTTATTTCAAAAGTACAAACGAGTTGAGAGCCGGTCAAATTTAGCCACACCAAGATAAAGGTTTTGAAACTCTTCAAATAAAAATAAGTTTTAATTAAATTAGAATAAATGTAAAGTTCTACTCCAAATTTACAGCAGTTTCATAGATTAGCGTTCCCTGTTCTAGATTTCCTTGGCCGGTTGGATTCTTGGAATTACCTTGCTTTGGCAAATTGCTCTTAATGAAAACTGTATGCCAAAGGCCACTTGCGCCATCTAGTGGCTGTAAATTATGATTAAAATAATAATCTGGGGGGAATAATCTAATATTGTAAATAAACTAAATTAACACAACAGTTGTTTCTGTCTAATTTATACAGCCTGCATTTATGTTGCATTGAAATATAGAAATTGGTCCCATCTGTTTCCCTGAATGTCAACTATTATGCATTTCTTTGACTTGGTATCCTAAAAACAGCGAGTATAAGAGCCATTGGTTTAATTAAATTGCAAGCATAAAGCTGCCTATAATGAACTTCAACAACACACAGTACCCTCTGACATCTAGAATTAATGGTATGAATCAATCAGAATGAATACATTCCCAGTGTAAGTAAAACAAACAAAAACTAAAGGTTTCTTTCTGCCTTTGCAGGCATTAACCTCTAACAGGGAGGGAAGTTTAACCCATAAATATGGTGGCAGCAAACTCTAGTGTCCAAAAAATATTACTACAGCTGAAAACAGACAAATATCTCTCCTGGCATGTTCAGATTCAAATGTCAGTCAGCCATTTAAATGATGTCTGTTTCAGAACTGAAGTGACTCACCAGATGGAAAATATTGCCGTCCTGTCTCGGTATGCAGCTTTTTATGCAAGTCTCACCTCAAGTGTGGATTTGATTGGAGTGTCTTCCGTTGACAAATTCCTCTTCTTTTTATTTTTCATGAGTCATCTGAGGATTTGGGAGACTTCAGGATGAATCTTCAAAGATAAAAAATAAATAAATGAATCAGTGACGCATAAGCAGAGGCTTTCAAATTGTAGTGTGACCCGTGTGTTTCACCGTTCTGCTTCACAAAAGGTAGTGAACACATTTTGACATTTATTCTGGCTATATGAACATAAACCAAAGAGGCCTGCGCCTAAACACCCAATCTGATGTAACATCTGCATAATATTAGAAAGTGTAAGGATCCCTCACAAAGTAGGACCATAATTCATAGGAGTCGTAAAACACCTCATGATTTTTTTCTCCGTTTCTCTTCTTTTTTACACCTTAAGTCATAAAAAGGAGAAAAGATATTCCAAAACCAGCTTTATTAGAACTATTCAAGTACAAAAATTTTGGCAAAAATACATGATGGTAGTTCATTTTGGCAAGGTACAGTAGTGTCATGATAATAATGTACTAAAAATCATTAATCTGTAGGGAACCAATTTCACAAAGAAACTGAATACTCCTGGATAATTTATTTGTGCTCTTCTTGTTCTATCATAAATGTCACCCGAAAATTTCTCTCCTCATCAACTATGTCCACTGAAAGCCTGTGTGTGTGTGTAAAGTATAGGGCAGATATAAGGAGTCACGCGATTGGCTAGATAAGATCTGGGACTGCATACGATGAAGGAATGAACGAGAGCATCTGAACTGTTGTGTCAGAAGAAACAATATGACAACCCAGTCTCACATTTTTTTCTTCCCAAAATGAGTCACGCATCCCATCATAACACAGCTCTAAATCAGAAGTGTGTGAAGTCAGTTCTCATGAGTCAAAAACAAGTTTAGAGCCGCTTTTATAACTGTAACGGGAAGGAAAATCTAAACAAAAACAGGATGCAATTTACAAGTATATAATTTAAAAGTAACTTTATATCCACTTACGGGCCTAATTAGCTGAAACATTTCACTAGGAATTGTTTGCAGTGTTTCATGGCTGTTGTAGAAATGTTTTGCTGGTGTCAAAAAACCTCATTTTGATTGCGAGTATTTCCCAATTTACCTGTAAACAAACAAACTTCGTATATATTAGCTGATTCAGAAGTGTGACTCAAGAATAAGGATTGAATCAGCAAATGTACCATCCTCCAGAAGTCTATCAAATAATAAAAGGTCTGCATCAACTATAAAACTAGTTAGAATAAATCAGTTGCACTTGTCAAACAAAACATTGCTCCATAAAAGCCTTTGTCATCTGTGCCCTTATAACTTTTAATCTGATCTATGGAGAATGTGTAAAAAATAATTTATTTAAAAAAGCATAACTATTAACCAACATATATTCTATTACCTGTTCTTGATTAAACCACATTTTTGGGGATTTGTGTCAACTTTTTTTCAAAACTGAACTTTTTTTCTTCTTATTCACTATACTTATCTATTAGTTTAGTTTAAATAGTTTAATTTATCAGTTTAAATTAAGTGGCCTTAAAGAGGACAGCAAACTATTGTTGATAACAAACAAGCATGAGGAGGAAAAACATGCCCATAGACCAGCACTGTGTTGAAGTGTGGACAAAGTGACAATTAATCTCCTGTTAGTCTTTCTAGATTATTTTTGAGATCATACAAGAAATATTCTGGTTGTTTACCATCTTCATGCAAAATTGGTGGGCAAAAAACACAAACAAAAGTCTGAAAAAGGTAACTAGGGGGTAAAAAGTAATTACAGAAGGAAAGCATTATTTCTGCCACCCTTTGCTTTGAAAGGAAAAAGGCTGTTAGGTGAGAACCACACGCTGACGATGGTCAAATGTACGGCTCAACACGTCACCTCCAAAGATAAAGTTACATTTTTCGGAGGCTTCTGAAGCTTACCAGCACGCCTGCTTGTCAGTCACTTAAATACTCAATTCCTATTTGGTGTCAGCCCAAAGTTTTCCCCGACTCTGCCCTGAGGCGGTCGAGGTGTGTTTTGGCTTGCTACAGAACATGATGGAGCAGGAATCAGTGGCTGAACCTGTCTACATCATATTACAGAATGCGTGTGTAACATTTTTCCATCTCAGATGTCACAGAAGTTGTGCTACACATGTATGAGCCACAATAACCGAACTGCAGTTTGTCTAGCAAATTGTTTTGGATTAATCTACAAGCTTTTTCAGAGTGTTCAGCTCTTACAAAGGTTAGAGCTATTTATCCCAAACAGTGTTAGGTCAGCCCTCAGTCCAGTTCACTGTTGCCAACAAAGTAGACTTGTACCATTGCCCTGGCACTAGCCTCGTTACCTGGCAGCACGTGGGAATGATTTTGCTGGTTGGAGTTGAATCAATGCTGATACTGAAGTTTTTCCCAAAACATCAAATTCTAAGGATTTTTTAAAATGGTTTTAAAAAAGAAAGAAAGAAAGAAGCAATAAATTAAATTAAAAGTAATAAAGACCAATAAATACAAAATATGAGGACAAATATTTTAAAAAGTATCATAATAATATAGATAATCCATCTGGGAAATGACAAGATTAGTTGGAGAACCGTCAGAGGAATTGGAAGCATGTTGTCTCAGTCTGCTCTGATATAGGATTCTGCGTCTACTATCGTCAGTTTTATGTTTCATGTTAAATCAAATTATTTCAGGTGGTGAAAGGTCAGGACTGCAAAAAGATCCACCCAGAGTCCTCCCTTGCAAAGCCATGACCCTCCAATACAGGTGATGTGTGG